TGTCATTCACATCACATGTGGTACATGAGGTGGAACAAAATTGTATAAAAATATAATATATAAAAAAACGGTATACAAGGATCTAAGATATACACAAAATATTTATACATATAGCCAATATATATATATATATATATATATATATATATATATATATATATATATATATATATCTACATTACAATTTAACTTTTTTTTCTTTCAACTGCTCTCTTCTTCACAACGAGCAAAGACATCAGCAATCTACAATGAACATTCATTAGTTTGTTTAAACAGAAGCCACCCATCAAGTTGATAATACTGTAAAGTATTAGATTTCCAGAATATGTACGCTGATATTTGTAATTATAGTAATAATTTTAATTCCTATGCCTGAAATTTTAGTTTTATTTAATAATAAAATAAATACTTAATATAATATCCAGAATAATAAAGTATATTTGATATATCTGAAATATTTCACATGAATAGAATAAATGGTATTTTAAAGAGCTGAAAAATTATCTTTGAGTAGGATAAACTTATTTTACCAACAGCTCCAAATGTCTATTTTGTGATAAATCAACTTCCCAAACATAACATTCGAACTTTTAGTAAACGCTCCTTAAATCTGAGGTTAAGTCTTATTTCTTAGGAGATATTCTCTGGGCTATATAATATAATCTAGCGTATAATAGGTGTGTAGTAATTACAATAGATCTCCTGTAATATTAACTCTACTCATCATAAACTTGAATGCCAAGGAAACCCTTGTCTTTTATTTAAATCTATATAATATTTGGAGACAGAACAGGCCATCATTAAGCTTATGAAAAGGTCCTCTAAGAGTTACAGTCTGAATATTATCAAATATGTATGACTTTCTTTTGCAAGATCAACAGGAAATTATTTTGTCACTAACAATAACACAAAGCGATTCTGTTCGCCCTTGTCGGCCACCATAGTTCAAAACCACGTGGGGAATCAAAACAATATGGCGGCTGGTTTCAAGTAAGCTTGTTCATACTGTACATTTGTCAAACAAATGCATGTTTTTCGTGTTAATTTACCAATTCCTATTGTATAAATATATCAAGTAAGGTTTCAGGTGAGATGTAATTGCGGATAAATGTATAATTTTGATTTTAGTAAATCGCGCGTCTGCGTCAGTCGTTTTTTTTCAGTCTGTAACTTTGACTGAATTACTTCCCATAAATAGTCATTTACCAGTTTTCTTCCTTGCGCCGTTGTTTCGTCTCAAAGTTTTTATTTTTTGTTCTGGACTAATTGCTGTCTTTTCATTAAATATTAGGACGGCGGAGCCTCTGGAATATCACAGGAGCTTTCTGGTTTGTGATGTTCACATTTGTTTATTTGTAACACATAAACATTTATATCAGGAGTATCATTTAGCCCGCAAAATGTTCAATTTCCAGAAAGAAAACTGTAGACCCGATGGACGGGAGCTGTCTGAATTCAGAACCACGACTTTGAACATTGGTAAATTGTACATATTTGGTCCCACTGTCACAGCTGAGTCTTTTATTCAGCACACACTCAGTTTTATTATTTTATTTTGTTTAGGGTCCATATCTACAGCAGATGGCTCAGCCCTGGTGAAGATGGGAAACACCACAATCATCTGTGGAATCAAAGGGGTACATTAACAACACAGCACTTCAGAACATTGTTTCAAATACATTATTGTAACCCTCTACTTCTTCGGCTTACAAAATCCTACATTTTAAGTTCAGCCTATTATAGATGATTTATTGACCAACCATTTTTTGATCCTGCATAAATGCATCACAGGTCTCTCTTGTAAATGAGTCCTCGAGGCTCAATGAGACTAACCTGTATAAATAAAGGTTGAATGAAAAAACAATCTTGTTTTCATTATTTCGCATTATTTTTAAAACATACACAAACATTTGTCCGTGTGCAGGAGCTGGCCAACCCTACGGTGGATGCACCTGGTAAAGGTTACATTGGTGAGTATGATGCAAAAGTATCAAGTGCTAATCTGTTAAAAAAAAAAAAAAAAAAAAGAAAATTTCACAAACGTGTGATCTTTTGCTCATAGCCTCTATTTTGATTCAAGTGTTTGTGTATGTAGCTATGATGGTTCTGGTTGTACAGCAGTAACATGAGGATTCTAATAAACAAAACACTGACTGCAGCACTCTTTACTCTCAAGTGCCCAACGTGGACCTGCCGCCTCTGTGTTCGTCCCGCTTCCGGCCGGGCCCGCCAGGAGAACAGGCCCAGGCTGCTAGCCAGTTCATTGCAGATGTTATCGAAAGGTTCGATAAACCCTCAACATGCTCTTGTAGTTTTCCATTGCGGTTTGCTCACTCGTCGTCGTTACATGTTTGTGCTGCAGCTCTGAGGTGATCAAGACAGAAGACTTGTGCATCGACAGAGGAAAGGTAAAAACTTATAAATGAGCACATAAACTAGTGACGACTGTGACATAATTCAGCTGTTTGTTGTTGCAGCTCTGCTGGGTCCTTTACTGTGACATCATGTGTCTCGACTATGATGGGAACATTCTGGATGCTTCTGTTGTCGCCCTGCTGGCTGCCCTGAATAACAGTAAGTGCTTTGAATGTGGAGCGGTCTACAACTAGAGTGGGGAAAACATGGTTACAGTAATCCTTCGCGGTTCGTTTATCACGGACTGTTCTATCGCGGTTTTTCAAAATAAGATTGGATGACACGATTGGCTGATGGATGGATGAGCGGCACGATCGGCATGGAATTTTTATTTAAAATAAATTATTTTAAAGTATTTAGCACCTGCTGCACATTTTTGCAGCCCATACTGCATCTGAAATCATGACATGCTCTTTTAGAGCGTTTAGTTTAGAAACATTGTTTAGAATATTTCAAGAGTGTGGGAAGGGTTTAAAATGCCTTTATATATTAAAAAAAACTAAAATAAACCACTACTTGTACAACTATTCCTACCTTTTTCACTTATCGTGAGTCTTCAGGGTACGGATCCCCCGTGATAAACGAGGGACTGCTGTATTTGACTTTCTATTTATATGTGAGAATTTTGCAGAGGAGCAAATGTATTTTTTATTTTAATCAGTCATTTAATTTAATTGCTTCCCAACAGCTCAACTCCCAGAGGTCACCATCAACAAGGAGACGTGTTTGCCAGAGGTGAATTTCGAAAAGAGACACCGTCTCTGTATTCACAAGCATCCAGTTGGCACCTCTTTTTGTGTCTTTGATGAGTAAGTTTGCCTCATTCAAGTAAAGTTCTACATTTTTGTTGGTCATTTCAGTCTGGACTAATTGTAACTTTTTCCATTTGCAGCTCTGTACTTATTGTAGACCCCACATCTGAGGAGGAGAGTCTGTCAACTGCACGGCTCACTGTGGTGACGGATGAGGACGATCGACTCTGCTCGCTACACAAACCAGGTCAGAAACAACAACAAAAATAGTTTTTTTTATAGAAAAAAAAACGTGTGTTCTTGGAATATATATGCTTTAGCTCCACTCTCACTTTGAAATGTCTCCAGGTGGCTCATCGCTGTCAGGAGAGAAGCTGCAGGAGTGCATCAACCGAGCCACAACACGACAGAGAGAGATCCAGAAACTCATTGAGAAAGTTATACACAGTGTAAAACCTGCACAATAACACACAGACAAAGGCTTTTATCTAAAAGTTGTATTTTCCACTGTCAATATATATTCTTTTTTTTTAAAACAATAAAACTGCTGACAAAGACTGCTTTAAAAAATTATTCTTTTCAGTGTCCAGAAATGTCTCGCACTCAGCTGAAGTCATGTAAGAATACGCTCATGGCTCCTGGACTTATTAAAAGGAAACACCTTTCCAAAATATGCTGTACAAAAGCAAACTGTCTTGCATGTTGATTTCGAGTCCTCGTGTGAGCCCTGTGTCCTAACAGAAGACTTCCAACAGACTGAGAGGTAGAGAGCTGCCCCCAGGCAATACTCCAAGATAAAGTTTGCATTTTCACATGTCGCGGTTACGTGGAGGATTTGGTGTCGACAAGCTCAGCTAGGATCTGTGCTTAAAGGGCAGTTTCTACCGGAGTCAACATGGCAGCCTCATGCAAAATGTTCTGAGAATGTGCATTCGTGGCTCGTTCAGTCCACAAGGCCTTTGCAGAGAAAAGTCTTCCTAAAGTAGAAATATGTCGCTGTGGAAGCTCATTACCTTCAAGACCCGTCTTCTTCTTGATCATTTCAAAAAATATCACTAAGGTCCTGTGAGCTAAGGGCTCCCTGTTGTAAAAACTTGATCCTCCACAGTGGACAAAGCATCTTTCGAGAACTGATACATACAAATTTATCCGTTAGAAAAAAAGTCTTTTTTTTTTTAGTCTGCTTGTCTTTAAAGTGACGCAGACAAAGAGCACAGTATAGATCATGAACGTCCTCACGTAGCTGGAAAGGGGCTTTAGTGTGATCTCAGTCTGTTACGACTTGGAAAGAGGCTGCGGTGTGGTCCTCTTCCTCTTACTTCTTGGTTGACTGGCGGTATGTTGCCGTGGCGCCGCCCCCTGAGGAGCTGCTGCTCCCATAGCCATTTGCTGCTGCTGCATTTGGTGCTGCAAGAATTGCAACTGTTCAGTAGAAACAAAGAGAAAACACATCAGGAGATTTTCACTAAAATAGTTAAAGATCAAATTTGTTATGCGTGTAAGCATTTTGCATGGTTAATATTAATATTAAACAGACTCCCTCACTGAAACGGGAATCGAATTGCACTTTTACGACGCTTTGCGCCACCGTGCTGCGGGTTAGTGAAACCGAACTAAAGGCTGATGTGTACGACATACAAGAAGAGTTTGCAGTGAGATATAGAAAAAAAAGGTTAATGGTTTGTGGAGGGGAGGGAGAGGAAGTGGGGAGTGAGGCAGGATGCAGACAAGCAGCACCAGTGTTGTCTGGAGACGAATGACTGAGATCCCAGCAGAACAAACATGCAGCTTCACAGCTATGCGTTCGGCTCAGAGAGGAAGTCAACCTAAACAAATATATAATTCATGTCTGCAGTGGAAAAGCCCATTATTTCTTTCATGATGAAACCAGGAAACTTTCAAAAGAATAAAAGTACCATCCTGTGGCTACGATCTGTAAGAACATGCCTGCTTTTTAGCTTGACACGCTGTTAGTTGCTGCCATTGAAAGCGTTGGTGTTTGTGTGTGTGTTGCTGTGGTCTTCATCAAAACAAAGTGTATCACTAAGAGAACATACAACACAGAATGAAGTGGCTCTTGCACAGTAAAATGTGTGGTGTACGAGGATTTACATGAAAACTGAACCTTGGATGACACTTTTAAATAGATGGTTAGTGTACCATTAAGAAGTCAGTATTTTACATGCAGTAAAGAGCCATCAGTGTGATCCCTGTTTGAAATACGAGGAAGGATTTCTTAGAGAGGAATTAATATTTCGGGGGCCACTGTTCATCTAAAACAACCCAAATTCAAAAATATTGAAGCAGTTTGAATGAACGCTAAATTGAACAATTTTACAACTTGCAAACTACATATTTTGTCAACCAAACATTTGTGTTTGTACTCACTATAAATATTCTTTCACTGATCGGTGGTGTCCAACAGTTTATGTAAAAACTGGTTCACACACACACATATTCTTGTACAGTAGTCCCTCATTACATCGCGGACTCGCTCTATTGCAGTTTTTCAAAGTAAGATTAGAGATGACACACACCTGGCTGATTGATGGATGAGCCATGGATTGTTTATTTAAAATAAACTATTTTAAATGTTTTTGCCCCTGTGTGCAGCCCACAAGTGCAGGGGGAAGCTCCCTCCTGCATTTCTCCTCCGTTCTGCATCAGCTTTGTGAAGGGCTATGATGTCTTACTGTGCTTCTCTACAATTTAAATACTGTAACATTTACAATAAACCATGCTGCATGGATTGTTCATTTTAAATGTTGAAGTATTTCAATTTAAATTGTTTATTTAAGGAAAGAGATTGGGAGTAATAGGGGATGAGTGTGATTGCAGCCTGGCACAAGTAATGACAAAGTTTACTGAACTTAGATTACTGTAACTCCACTTCATGGTTTTTCACATATTTTTTTTTTTTGGGGGGGGGGGGTGTTGTACGGAACCCCCGTGATAAACAAGGGACTACTGTATTTCTAGAAAAAGGAAAGTTATCTTCACTTGGCCAGCAGAATGATGGGGCACACCTGATCACTGACAGCCTTCATTAATTACACATTGCAACACTGATGTTTAGTCACTGTGTGAGAGGCGGGGGACACCCTGGACAAGTCTCCAGTCCATCACAGGGACACATAAGAGACAAACGAGACAACCATTCAGTCTCTCGGTCACACCTAGGGACAATTTAGAGTTAGCAATCAGTCTAACATGCATGTTTTTGGTCTGTGGGAGGAAACCGGAGTACTCGGAGAAAACCCACGCATGCACGGAGAGAACATGCAAACTCCACCCAGAAAGGTCCCCAGACGGGATTTGATTTGGCGACCTTCTTGCTGAGAGGCGACAGTTCTACCAACTGCGCCATCGTGCCGCTCGAAACCTATTATAAAATACTAAATACGGTGTTTAATTTGTGTGAAGTTCTTGAATTTGACTTGTTTTATATGATGTAAATTTACTCTTGAACAGTTCTTATAAAACAGTTTTTAGCATCACTTTCCCAGAAGAATTTCTCCTCAGTTCGCCAAACCAAAATCAACGATTGCTCAAAACTACACATAAGCCCTTTAAAAAAAAAATCCAGACCACTCCCTTAAACTATTCATTAGATATAAACTCAAATATTTCTAAAATACATTTGCCTTTGTTTAATGTATTTTACATTTTGGGAAAATACAGTTCGACACAAAGCTCAAATTTTGAGAAGATTTAAAAAGTTCAAAATAATTTTCCTAATCTGATGAATTTAAAAAAAAATATTTCTAGACATATAAAATAATTATTGTTTTATATTTGTAAATATTTAAGAACCAATTTGAAAAATGGGGTTTACAGTAAAACACATGCAGCTGCCTGTAAACGAAGGCATGAAGAGTGAAAGGTGGTTTTAGTCTCAGTACTCGACTCCTACAAACCTCTTTAAGTGTAAGTGAATGTTAATGTTACTGTATTACTTGGATCTGTGGCTGGTGCTGCTGCTGAAGCCTTGGAGAAGGCAGCGGGGGCCCAGACCCGTCCAGCCCACAGCCCAACTGGGACAGCACTAAGGGGAGGGAAGGAGGGAGGGAGGGAACCCCAGAGGGAAGGAGGTGACGGCAAGAGGGACACAAGCAGAAGAAGGTATGGGATGATATATGAGGAGGAAATAAGCAGAAGAGGAGAACATTGACAGGTTGAGGGGAAGAATGTGACGTTTCAGGAAAAGGAAAACCACACGACAAAAGGAAAGACAAAAACAGAAATATTGTAGAAAAAGTGCAAAGATTACGGACAAATAGCACAAATTAGAAAAGATGTGAAGGAACAGTGCATTGAGAGGAGGGGGAGGAATTTAACACAGAGGGAAGGGGAAAAGGGTGAGGGCAAACAAAACAAACAGAAAAGGAAAAAGAGAATGTAGCAGAGAAGAGGGGGGAAAGTTGAGTCTCTCCTGTCAGCTGTTAAATGCCCCTTTGAGAGGAACGATGGCTAACTTTAGCAACATTCTCATGTTTAGTCACAGACTCAGAAATGATGTACAGTTTTTACAGTAATGAACACATTAGTGAATCTCATCTTATTAGTTGTAGTCTGTGAGATGGTGTCATTTTGTGACAAAGCAGATTAAAGGAGCAAATGAAAAAAATGTTCAGGGAAATATGCGCGGCTCTAATGTGGATTTTTACGTCGTGATGGACCATACCTGCTGCCTGCGGAGACATGAAGCCTCCCACCCCGAGGTTGATGACAGCAGTTTGCTGGTTTCCTAAACTTTGATCTGACCCTTGGTCATTCTGAAATAGAAGACACAAAGGAGAATGAGACAACAAGATGACCGCACACAAATGCTGCAAAACCAAATATTTGCAACATTAAACCTACTTCTATAAATATCAGTCTTGAAAAGCATAATTTACAGAAACACAAACTTAATTTGATAAAGACGTGTACGTGTGTGTATGTATGTATGTATGTATGTATGTATGTATGTATGTATGTATGTATGTATGTATGTATGTATATATATATATATATATATATATATATATATATGAAACTATGTCATATATGCATTTTTTTTTCAGTTCAACCTTTATTGAAAAAAATAAATGACATAGTTTCACACACACACATATACTGTATATATATATGTGTGTGTGTGTGTGTGTGTGTATCCATCCATCCATTATCTTTACCCGCTTCTTCCATTTTGGGTCACTGATCTGTTTTTCTGTTACATAATTAAATGAAAATGTTTTGTTTTTCTTCTGAGTCCAGTCTTTAGAGCATGTACTTGCAAGTGAATGTCTCACCAACTCCCCCTGCTGTTGGGGACTGGACGTGGCTGACTGACTCTGCTGAGGGGAAAACTGGGACTGCAGAGAGTTAAAAATGTAAGGACCAGTGGGGATCTGTAGATAAACAGCACAGAGGAAAACACAAGGAAGTGAGAATGAACAGAGGGTAGGAGGAAGGACAGTGGGAAAGACATGATGCACATATAATGGGAAGAGAAGAAAAGAAACAAGTTAGAAAGAGCTGAACATGAACTTTTTTCACCATTAGATAATCAGAACTACAAAAAAGGAACATTCTTAGTACAAGCTTAATCTACTCTCAGATTTCTTTGTTTACTTCTGTGTCTATTCCACTTGCAAAAGCTCATGAGACTCAGCAATTCTGCACTAAGAGGGTGGCAATAATATCAAAATAATTTGATTGACATTTCAGTCAGGCATCATATACAAAAGACACCTGCAATTTCACACTTTTACAAGTAGTGCTCAATGTGTTGCCTACGCAATGAGATGAAGGAGAAAATGTATTAGGAAATATAAGCTACACTGATTCAAACATCACAAGATTAACAATGGTAAACACCGTGTGAATGCTTTCTACAGCGTTACAGACTGACTGTAACAGAGGCATACCTGTAGAAGGTTCAGTGGTCTCAACCCAGCACTGCTGTTCAAACCAAAGGGGCTCCCTGGAACAGAACAATTTACATAGACCACACAACATAATGAAAAACCTAACACACAAACACAAACATTTTAATTTATTAATTTTATTGAGTTGTAGATATGTTGTTGCTTCTCAAAGGCTCAAATACAAGAGTTTATAACAGTTTCTGAAAGTTCACCACATATGACATATGTGACATGTAAAAATAGACCAGACATACAGAAAAAATATGTGACACATATGTAGGTATTTTGGTGTAGACTCTTGTTTTTTTTTTATTTTTTTTTTTTTTTAGAACATGGTAATTCTAAAAGTTGAGAAAGATACCAAATATCAGTTCTTGCTATTTAAAGATGTTTCACCTCTCCTCCGGAATGCTTTTATCTTTCGTTTTTTAATACTTTATATTTTTGCTATTTTTGGGTGTCAAAGCCAAAGTTTCTTTATGCGTCATACATGTGGTACATGAGGTGGAACGAAATTGTGTACACAGGGTCCCAGTTATATCCAACAAAAGTATAAACTGTAAAGAAAAACAGTAATAAGATCTAAGATATGAAGTGCAACTGGGACCCTGGGTACACAATTTCGTTCCACCTCACGTACCACATGTGATGCGAATAAAGAACCTTGAACCCTTTTCGGTTCTGATTATGAATTAAGGAGTTTATGCTTATTATTACGTATGATAATTACACCAAAAGGGGTCTGCGTTTATATTTGTTGTTGAGATGAGTAACGCTGAACGGGGAGCCCGTTCAGTCAACTGTCCCAACAACAGCTTATAAAAAGTTAAGAGCTGATGAAGTCTTTGGGATGAGAGGTGAAACGTCAAGAAACAAGAAATGAAGTCCAGTTGTCTTATATTCAACTCTTAGGACAAACACGATGGAAAAATAAAATCATTTTCTTCCCCATTCTTGTTGGTCTTCAGCACATTCATTGTCTGATCTGGAGTACAAGGTAGTGCAGCGTTTCACCTACCATCATACAAGCAGGGTGCCCTGCCCTGTCAACAGAACCAAGAGCCCCGCCTACACCCCCACCCCCCAAGCGCGCCGTTGACATCTACTGGACCTGACTTAGCACCAAGCTAGCGGCGCACAATACAGATGTGCTACCTAAAAAGCTACATAAGTAGCACTGTTTCCCTTCACACAGTCTATCCCCGTCCCCGCTTGAAATAAAACCTATTGGTCCAAACAGCGCGCAACACAGACTCTGTATCCGCCACCCCGTTGACAAAAATCACGGAAGAGACGAGCGCCCTGCCAAGGCACGTAAACTTGGGGAAACACTGCAGTGAATGTGCTTTCTATTAGAAAAAGTCGGGGTAATTCCTTCATTTAAGAGTGGAGCAGCATAAAGCCAAGAGAAAAGCTCAATTTGACCCTAAAACATGTCACACTTTGAAACATTTATAACAGACCGAGTTGTAAAAACTATCCCGATGGTGAGGCAACGTGACATAACATTCTACAATAAAGCGTTTACTCAAACAATGATGGCATTTGTAAAGTTAGAGTAGCTTTAGTCAGTGAACAGCTCTGTCTTGGTGGTTTTCACCTGAGGATCAGTCAGCCTGGCCTGCTTTTCACGTGTTCTGTAAGATCCTCCAAAGTTAGTATTTCTGCCCTTCAGTTGTCTACAATCGGTAAGACTGACTTCTTCTACACAAGCCCACTTTAAATAAACCAAACAATAACTTTACCGCCTCTTAATGTGGCAAATGAACAAATTATCTTTTTGTTAGCTCTAATTAGCAGATATTATTTTGCAAACCAGAGTCTGGGTAGTTCCCTTTCTACAGGCAGATCAAATCTCACATTCCTGGAGCTGGGGTTTAATAATTATTTGAGGTATTGTCAGTAAATTAGAAACAAATGAAAATGAGTAGATGATAAAAAAATAATAGTTGAGAAAGCATAATGCTAATTTCTTACCTGTCTGGGCTGCAGACTGCATGGTGGGCATCAAGCCCCCTGATGGCAGGATTCCACTCAGGTTAAGCCCTGGACCCAACATGGGGTTAGAACCGCTCATCAACGTTTGGGGACTGCTGCAAAAACATTCCCAAATCATCATGAAAAAAACCCTCCACTTTTCTAGATAGTGACATCATACTATCAGAGATAATCTCTTTTCTTACCAGACAGAGCTGACCACATTGATAAAGTTGAGCCCTGCTGGGTTAGCCATGACCTGCGATGAGCTGGTTCCTGTGGTGATGGACGTACCCATGGTGGGCAGTGGGATGGTCATAACAGGCAGAGGCTGGCTTAGAGCCAACTGCTGCTGGGGGTAAGGTGTAAGGAGGGGAGGCTGTGACTGGCTCTGAACCATGGCGGGGTCTGAAGAGGTTGGAGTCAACGAGAGGGAAGAAGAGAGGGAGTCGATAGGATGCGGGGTTGAGCATGGCGTGTTGGTGGGTGTGGGAGTAGAAGGCTTCGGGGTTCCTGATCCTAAAAAAATAACAAGTTGTTCAAAACAGACATGAAGCTTTGCTGGAAGTATAAATGGTAATTTTGTGATCGTACAAAATGATGTGTGATGTATCCCTAACACTTTTTCCTTATTTCCATGATTTTCCATATTTCAACACCTGGACTCTTGTCAGAATAACTCATCAGAAAATCCCAACAAATCCACATCTGGAGAACTTGGAAGCAGAGCGTAAAGACGGTCCAACTGCTCCTTGTAAGCCCAAGAGTTAGTCAGACTTGGCTGTACTCACTCTGTGTGGAGCCCATTGGAGAGAGTGAGGCAGGCGACAGCAGACCCATCTGGCCCAGCTCCATGGAGTGTTTCCTGTTCAGAGACTGGCTTTTGGCTGGAGGCGGTGGTGGCGTAGGACACTTAAGTAGACCACTGGTAGTTTGTGAACTATATGGATTACCTGAAAAATCATTAACAAACCATTTTCATCATTAGGCAGTATTAGATCATTTGGTCCAACTTTTTAAAAATATCTAACTTTAAAGTAAAAAAAAAAGTCAGACTCAAGTTTTTTTGTGTGTTCCACAGTAATAAGGTTAGACAATTTAATGTATTGTCTTTAGTTTTGATTTAAATCTTTAGCAGGATTAAAGTTTCCTATACTTTGACTGGAAAAGGACAGAAAAGTCAATGCAACCCCCTAAATAACAAATCTGATTGATGTGTTTGTGCAGGAGGATGAGCTCCTGTCTGTGTTTTTGTTACCTAAAGAACTGCAGTTACTCTTTCTGCTAACCTTATCCACTACTTAACCCTTTAAATGTTATTAACATTAGCGAGGCTGAAGAGGCAAACAATGGGAGAAGACTTCTTCCATCACTCCTTTAAACTTTGTTTATCCTTTCTGCAACTCTACAGCATTAGTGACGTGTGTAAAAATATATCATTACACTTCTTAGGATGTACCTGAGGAGCTGCTGCCCAACCCTGAAGGCAGTTTAATAGGAGGGGGCCGGTGCTTCACCCCCTTTCCCAATACAGTCGTCTGTACCAGTGGAGAAACACCATCACCCTAAATAAAACATAAAAGACAGACAACAGTCACCTCAGCCAAAGTTCCCTCATAACAGCTGAAGTTTTAACAAAGCTGAAAACTAGATAAACTTTTCTTAAATCATTAATAGGAGGAGCTTACCTCATCTTTGTTGGGGGAGGGTGGCCCCTGTCCCACACTGCCTGAGCTATGGGACATCTTGACCTGACACTTCACATCTCTCTCATACACTTCTTTGTACTGAGTAAGAAACCTATGAAGAATGTACGTAATACTCTCTTAATAACACGCTGCAAAAACCAACATAAGAGACAGAACAGACAAAAGGCAACGTGTGAAGAAATAAACAAAACGACTCACCTCTCAGAGTCAATCTTTGACCCAATGAGGAAACTGTTAGTGCAATAAAAGAAATAAAAACAAGTGAATTTGAACCAGTGCTTCAAACTCTGTGAGGTATGTTAAATTAGTCTTGCTTGTGCTTACGGCGGGTGTATAAGCTTTAGGTCTGCACTGTCCTCCTCTGCTTTCCTGTCTTTCGTACAGTAGATCTTTCCGTACACCAGCGGGTCTCCCATTGACTGGAAGATGGACACCTTGGTCTTTTGAGCTTGGCCTCCCACTTCACACTCAAATGTGTAGTCATCTATAACTTCCTGTTCAAACAAAGACAACCAGTGTTTTTTTTCTCCCCCCACAACAAGCCAGTAAATAAACACATCATCCTCCACCATCGTACTTTGTGTATTCAAGTGAAAATAAGTTTAAACATGTATGTACAGATAATTGAGGTTAGAAACTACTTTTCTTGCCTTAAAAAGACAACAAAAGTGAAATAAACATTTGTGCTCAGTCTAGTGACATTGTTTTGTACGACAGAGCTTTAAGGCCATGCTAAGACATTTTAACACATTTAAAGCCCAAAAATTACGAGAATAAAGTCGAATAAAATCGAATAAAGTCTTAATATTATGAGAACAAAGTCGTACGAGACTTTGTTTTTTTTCAGCTCTCGTGATTTTTTTTGTTTCCACGAGTCGGATCCACAACGCGACCTGTCAATCAATCCAGTAGGCGTGTCAGCAAATGACCAATCTGAAGCTAAAAGCGCCGTACCTGCAGAGAGCTGCTGCAGCCCATCAGAGCTACCACCTTACTGTAAGCAGGTTCAAAGTCCTGATACTGATAATAATTTAATGCTAATGTGCTGACAGATTAACTATCTCCTTATTTTTAAAACCAATACCAAAGTATAACTTAACAAGATGCTCAACATTCTTCATTTGACCACAGGTTTTTTTTTTCTCTGTCCTCCGGTGGAACCGGACGTG